GCCTAACTGAGGCCTGGTCCAGGGCCCTCACCCCAGAGCTGGGGCCTGGCCGGGGGGGGACGCCCCCAGCCTTCGTCCCCGGCTGGAGAAGTGCCGCTGGCTCAGGGGGCTCCCAGCTCAGCCCCCCGTGAGTTCCCAGACGAGGACAGCGCTGTGGGAGGCCGTGAGGAGACGGCAGCCAGAGGGGGCAAAGCGGCAGAGGTGGACAACGTCATCATGGCCGGCGTAGTCCTGCACATCGCTGGCGGGGCAGCGCAGCAGCCTCAGCAGCCGTTCTGTGGGGAAAGGAGGGTGCTCAGTGTCAGGGAAAGGAGGTTCTGCCACCACGGGGATTGTCCCTGCCAGGAGCACCGTTCCCTGTCACTCTCTGGGCCCTCTCACCCCTGCTGAGCTGCGCATCAATAAACTGAGTGACAGGGGACAGCTTCTTGCTGAAGCAATTAACAGCTGGTAATAGGGAGAGAGCATGACAGGGCAGCTCCACGCTGCGTGTCAGACTGTCATGCTGCAGTAATGGATGCAGCAGCACGTGTTAGTGCAGCTCTGCTCTATTGCACCCCACCCCGAAGCACCTGGGCCTGGGTTTAGTGGGTGCCTTGCAGCAATGGGGCAGGCGTGGAACTCACCCTGCTCTCAGGAGCTGCTGTCAGAGTGGGATGGATATAAATGCTGCCTCCCCAGGCAGATACAAACAGCTACAGAAGCAAGGTGCCCTTGCTAGGCAAAGGGTGCTGATTGTCCCCATGCTGCGGGAAGGTCCCTTCTGCCTCCCAGGCTGTAACTCACACAGCCGCAGAGATGAAGACAGCCCGTAACCCCAAGAAGTCATTCGAATGACAAATCTTGCTCATTGACAAATGGGACTGAGCTCATGCATCTTGTTTCTGACCTATGAGTCTCCCAGAGCTTTCTCCTTGCCTGACGCATACCCTGCCCGCAGTCCCAGGGTCTGAGAATATGGGCTGGTGTGTGTGCAAATCTCTCTCATTTAAAGGAAAAAGGAAACTTGGATTCCCCCCCTTTGCAGGAAGAAAGGGAGATCTCTCCTCCCTGAAAGTAACCTGAGGACAAGTCAGCCTGGGCAGCAGAGCTCACAGCACCCTCTGGTACTCACCACCAAAGCCAACAGCCATGAAATGTGCTGCAGGAGACAAGCTGAGTGATGTGGCAAAGTACGGCAAAGAAATCTTCTCAACTACCTGTGCTCCAGCAAGAGAAACACACCAACAGCTCAGAAATGGAAGGTGGGAGACCAGAGCTGCTACAGTGACTGTCGTTAGGAGGGTAAGGGGCTCCTCTCAAAGGGAAGGCTGACAGATGCACAGCACCTCAGAAATGTGCCAAAGGCATTGACTTTCCAGAGGAGACTCCACTCCATGATTTAGAGACTGTTAGCACTCCTGAAAGCAAACACTTTCCCCTCTGGTCAGATAGAAAGGCAGTAGGGCAGCAGCCGGGACTAGCAGCCTGCCCAGACACAGCCCAAGGCAGGGGCAGGGTCCTGCTGCTCACCTGGACCAGACTCGGGAGCTTCTGAGATGAAAAGCTGTTGCCCTGAGCAGCTGCTTGCCTGAGCCCACCCCACACCTTCAGACTTGGCTGTACAGGTAGGGCAGCACTGCCTCCCCGCACTGCACCTCGTTCAACGTGGCCACAGCCCTACGGCAGCAGAGGAATGACCACGCCACCCTGGCAGGGCACGAGTACCTGTTTCTTGTGCAGACTGTAGAATAAGGCCTCTTTCTGCATCCCAAAGCCGACGTAGACCAGGGTACCAGGTTCCCAAGGGCAGAATGCAGCCAGGCTGGGTGGGAGGCTGCTGAGACCCTGGTGAGGGAAACCAAAGGGGACAAAACGGAGGCTAGCTTCTCCAGCCTGACACAACATAGTGGGGGACAAAAGGAGAGCACGAAGGGATACCAGCCCTTGGGCTGCAGGTGCCCAAGCAGCAGGAAATTAGTATGATGGAGGCTGTTTCTTCCTCAAGCGTGCTCACAGCAAAGCAAGGAGCAACCACACACTGCCATGGAAACCTAAAGCAAATCATTTACTATCATATGAGTGGGACACGTGAGGGTCCAAGAGGTTGAATTTCCACTGAGGCATTATTGCTGTGTTGCCTTGAAGGTGAGATTGGGTTATGTATTGGTTTAATATAAGAAAATAGAGCCCAGAATACAGATCTTTAGGAGTGGATGCAAGATCAATCCTTCCCCTGTTCACTGTGGGGAGACCTGTAGTGAGTTTCCTTCATGGAGAAGAAATCCACCATTGTGGAAACAAGCAATAAAAACATTGACAGAACCTAAGTGCCATATGGGTCTGGATGGTGCTTGGCCCTGAGGGTGCTTGTCCCCCAAAAAGACTCAGCTCCCTTCTGCATACCAATGTCATGTGTATTGGGGACCATCTCCATGTCCTCTCCAATACAGACACTCCTCCGTTTCTAGCAGGGGTCTGGTTGCCCAGATCTCACACCTGAGTTGGAGCTAAACGGTTCTGCAAAGCATCACAGACACACAGGGCTATGGTACGCGGCTCAGTGAACCTGTCACTGGGCTTCTGGCGCTGAATATTCATGCTCTTTGGGAGCACCAAAGTTAGCAGCATGCTTATAATCAGGTCTCTCTTCTGTGCACTGTGCTCACCACTGCCTGTGCTCTGTTTTGCATAGCACAGGGGTGTCAGCTATTTGCAGATGCAGTTTCTGACTCCTGAGGCTTACAAAGTCAGTGCTTCCTGGTGGTTAGGCACTGCTAACAACTCCCACTGCTTTCTGACACGCCAGAAGGTGCATTAACAAGATACTCTCTGAGCAACAGAACTAACAAAGATGACTTTCCTAAGCACATACTCTCTCTTTGGCCCCGTCCCACCCAGAGCCCTGAAGCATCCCTCCCATGCCAGGAGCAGGCAGAGTTCTGGCAGCACCACGCTCACCTCAGGGCTGGCAGGAGCTGGGAAGCTGAGCCAGTCAAGGAGTTCACACTTATCCTTCAGCCAGTCAGAGGCCCAGACACTGACCCGGCGGTCCAAGCTGGTGGCCAGCCAGAGCTCACCTCCTTCCACCCCAAAGTCACGGTCCTATGGAAGATAAACACAATGCTGTGACTCTGGCAGTACAGAAGCTTTAGAGAAAGCTGCCACTAGAGCTAGCGTGGGGCAGGAGCTCCTGGGAACACAGGCCTTATGCCACAGGGGATCAATGCCAGGATTAACCTCCATTTGGGCAGTGCTTAAAGTCCCTTAGAACAAAATAGGACAAGAAAGGTGTGGTATTGGAACTGGCAGCACGCTCTGGGCTGAGTACCAGCAAAAGCTGCTGGGGGAGGAGAAAGTGCCTGGCCTGAACGACACAGATCTCTTCCCTGGGATCCCTCTGGATCTACACATCTCCTAGGGGAGTGCTTGCAGATACTGTGTGTCCCCTAACAATGTCCTTCACCTAAAATCGAGGGGGATCTCCTAAGTCTAGAATTACCAGGGAACACAGCCTTGCAGCATGGATGATTTTAAAGCCTGAGAACTTAGGCAAAATTATTGTCATTTCCACTGTGCAAAGGAAGAAGACTCTCCATGCAGAGAAGGGCAAAGGAGATGTTAAACCATCACACTGCTGCCCCACCAAGTCTTCCCAGCCCCACAGAGGAACCGTACAGAGAGCCAGCTACACACAGGAGGCCAGACTGCCAAGGATCGACATGGGGAAAGCACCCTGAGCCTTCTCAGGGGCGTGGGGGCTGAAAGTTCACAGCCCGGGCTGCTCTCAGGGGTGCTGCTCTCCGAGAGCCTGTGGCACAGGCACACATCACATCTGCATGCGGCGTGTCTACAACAGCCACCAAAGGTCCCCCCACCTGCAGGCACAGCCACAACCACAGGGTGAATGCCTGTCGCTTCACCCCACCAAAGGCATCCCTAGAAAAACTGAACAAAAGTTACTGGAGGGGATGGAGGCCTCAAGATGAAAGGTGAGGGACAACAAAGCAGACTCACTGACCAACCCAGCCCTGCTGCTGCTGCTTCCCACAGCTGTGCAGTGACACCCGGGGCACAGCACCAGGGCAGAGGGTGAGGACTCACCTGCTTCCGGGTGCACTGGAGAACAGTGATGGGGGAGCCTTTGTGGTCAGCGAGGACACGGATAGTCATCCCGGTGCGAGGGCTGCTGACAGCCACAAGCCCGTCCTTGCCTCCTGATAAGATCATCTCTCCTGTGGGCAGAGGAGAGAAAAGGACACTTCTTGTAGGAGAAGAAAAAAACCCATAGGAGAAAGGTCCAAGATTGTGGGATACCGGTGTCCCAAAACATCATGAAATACTGGGAACATCCAAGTCAAAGGTTAGGTAGGAGGAGATGTCTGAGACATTCACTAAAACATCACGCTGAAGAGCAGCCACTGCAGACAGTAAGCAAGACACAAAGGAATGTGATTCTGTGAATGCTTCTTGTACCCAAACGCCTTCACTGTGCCATTGCCAATGTACCTCCCATGTCCTATTTACCACAGGCTCAGCTGGCAAAGCTGCCACAGCTTACAGAATCATCTTGGTTGGAAAAGCCCTTGAAGCTCCTCCAGTCCAACCATGAACCTCACACTGACCATTCCCAACTCCACCAGATCCCTCAGCACTGGGTCAACCCAACTCTTCAACCTCTCCAGGGATGGGGACTACACCACTGCCCTGGGCAGCCCATTCCAACACCCAACAACCCCTTCGGTAAAGAAATGTTTCCTAAGAGCCAGTCTAAACCTTCCCTGGTGCAGCTTGAGGCCATTCCCTTGGTTACTTCGTTCAAGAAACTCATTCCCAGCTCTGCACCCTCCTTTCAGGTAGTTGTAGAAGGCGATGAGGTCTCCCCTCAGCCTCCTCTTCTCCAGACTAAATAACCCCAGAAAAGCTCATTGATACAAGTTCTCTGGCTCTCCCTGGCCCCAGGTTTTTGGGCAGGTTGCCAGCATGCAGAGCAGCTGGGGGTCAGGGTAACTGAGGCGCAACCTTGGGGTGCTCCCCTTGGCAATGTCTTCCCACTGTTATAACAGGCAGCCTCACCGTCTGTGGAGTAGGCAATTGCCGTCAGTGCAGCAGCATGGGGGTGCATTTTCAGCTCCATCTCTGTCCTGGAAATGCTGAACACACGGATGGTGCCATCGCTGTACCCTGCCACTACATGCTGGCTCTCAGATCCCCACGCAACAACAGGATGAGGCTTCCAGGCCAGGCACTGGCAGCTCTGCAAAGCAACCAGAGCAGAGACCTGATGGCACAGTGAAGACAACAGGATTGTGCAACCAAATGCACTAAAAGCTCCACTTGCTAGTATTTCTCCAGCTTTAGTCTATGCTGTGAGGACACAGCAGTCCTTGCAATCCCAAGCAGTGGACTGTGCCCTCTGCCACGAGGAAGAGATTGACATACCACAAACGATTACCTGGTTGAGCACCTGGAACTGTACCACCAGTTCCATGCTGCCCAAAGACCAAATCCTCACGCTGCCATCTTCCCCACATGTCGCACAGTGAGTCTCGTCAGGACTGAAGCACACTTCAGTCACCTGCAGCAGGAATGGAAATGGAGAACAGGGGCCCTACAAATGCCACAGCCTAGGGGACATCAGCTCCTCTGCCCTCTTGTCCCCAGGACCCCTCTTCATAGGAGACACCAGACAAGAAGCCCCAGACATAAAAAAAGATGGTGTGCTTTGGCTGTCCTTAAATCTTAGGCTTCCAACTAGGCTTGTAATAGAAACCAGTAAACCTAACCCCAAAGCTAGGAGCACTATGCAGTGTAGGTGTAAGTAAAATACTTTCTCTTCTACGATTTGAAATCTTCTCTCTGTACCATAAAGACACCCCAAAGCAACAGCAAAATTCAAGTCATTCTTCACGTGGTTTTTTTTTATGTCTTATGTAAAGAAAATGTTATCCAATATGGATATCCAGCTAGCAAACAGAAGGCAGGCAGAAATCACAGCAAGCCATAGTGCTTGCAAGCTACGTTCTTCTGCTCCAGCAAAAAGGCCCACAGCTGCTCTCAGGACAAGGCCATTAAAAACCTAAGGCTGGAGAAGATGAGCTCAGACTTCTTGAGGTTGGACTCCTCAGCGTGCCCAGTTCCCTGTAGACTCCTCCATGCCGTCCTGCCAGCACTAGCAAGCCCTGCAGCTCCCTGGCCTCTCCCATGGCCAGACCAGGGAATGCTTCCACAGCCCACACACGCTTCCCAGTGCACGGGCAGTATACACAGCACTCACTGCTCTGTGGGACAAACCACCCCTGCCCAGCCCCTCTAACCTTGTTCTTGTGGCCACTGATTAGTCGGATGCTTGTGCTCTCCGTCCAGTTGACGTACCACAGCGTTCCTGCCGTGGTGCCCACAATTCCCATTTCTAGAGAGTCATCAAAGGCTGTGCTGACTATGGTCCCATCGAGGGTTATCTCATGTTCTAGCAGGACCGAGCTAGACCTGGAGGAGAGGATGCAAGGAAGACTGGCTCAGCTGTTGGAACAGCCACTCCGCCTGCATTAAATGCTATCTTCTGATGAGCTCAGTCATGGATTTGCAGCTAAATGGTTCAATGAGAGGTTCCTCTGCATTAAACAGTGACTACTGTAACATTTACACTGCAACCATCTTCTTTAGGAAAGAAAGAAAAAAGGGGATGCAATAGCACGAGGGGAGAAACAAACACAAAGTATTTTCACTACTTCTCTTAAAGGAGTTCCTACAAATCACCAACACAAACTTCAGGCGTGATAATATCCGTTTCCAGTATTAAGAGGATTCACAGCTACCTGTGGCAATAATTCAGCAAAAAGACCCAGACAGAAAGAATCAGTAGTTACAGGACGGAGAGGAAAAGCTAAGGATGAACAGCAACAGGAGCAGCATGCTTGCAGGCAGAGTCAGTGTCTGTAAAAAGCCACCTCTCAGACAGGTCCTGGGAGCTGCCAGACGAGGGGAAGAGCATCTCCAGAGCACGGTGAGCTGGGCGCGCGTGCAGCGGGGACACTGGGGCCAAGACCTCCTACCTGGCATTGGGACCTTTCAGCCTCAGCTCCTGCACGGTGGCCACTGCCCACAGGCGGATGCGTTTGGTGTTGCTGCCGCTCACCAGCCTGCTGCACCGACACACCAGCACACCTGGGAGGCCACAGGGGAACAAAAGGCACCCATGAATATCCACTGCTCTCAGCCATCACCCAAGTTGTGCTCCTGACAGCCAGGCCACTGATTCACTTGGGCAGGGCAGTGAGGGTCTTCTACAGCCTAATACCCAGCGTTTTTACAGACTGGAGGCAGATCCCCCAGTTCTGACAATGAAACCTGGAGAAATCCAAGGAAACCCAGATCCACTGCCAACCCATGCATCTTGTACCTAACACAGCAAACTGGCTTTCTGAGCACAGCTGAAATCAGAAGCCTGCAAGCTCATTGCTCTTCTTTCTTAATGAGTTCCCACGGAATTTGTTACAGCCCTGACAGAAGCTCAGGGCATTTGCACCCACCAATCTCGCCCTCATCTGCCTCCCATGTCATGAAGCAGCGACTAGTCTCGGTGTCCCACACACAGATCTGTCCTGAGTTGGTTCCACTATAAAGAAGGGTGTCGGCACCATAACAGAGGGAGGTCAGCTCCACTGGCCCCAACACCTCCGGGGCAGGGGCCCGACGAACCTGACAGAGCACATAAAACAGAAATGTCAAAGAGAATACAGTGTTTACCTACAAGGGGAAAAAACCCCTCCTCCTACCCTCAGTTCATGCAGTTAATGTGTCATATACAACTGAAAGCCACTCATGGCCAGCCAACGTCATTGCCCTAAGAGAAATCGTCAGCTCTCACGGACCTGTGGGGGCATCACACTCACCAGGGGCTTGGAAAATAAGTCAGAGATGCTGAACAGAAGGTTCACCTGAGGTTTACCTTGAGGTTGACATCAGCTCCCTGTTGTTCCAACAGCCAAAACGTCACAGCTCCCTTCCCCACAAAGGCCAGTTCTCTGTGAGAAAGAGGACTAAAAGCCACATCATGGACTGGCTCCGAGATACATATCGACGACATGAGTTCATAAGTGTAGGTATTCCACAGAGCAATGGTTTGATCACTGTAGTCCCCTAGGTAGAACATGAATGACAGTAGGAGGAAATCCTGCAGCCTCAGGATGTTCACAAGCACATACACTGCACACACACATCAGCTGTGACACTCCCTTGTCCAGTTGTTTGGGGACAACTGCTGCAAACACCGTCCCAGGCATGGACACGGCTCCTTGTGTGCTCAGCAAAAGCTGCACGATGTGATGGTTCCTCATCCGAGTTGAGGGCGGATATAAGTGGCCCAACACCTCATGCTGGAGGTTGTAGCAAATCTGGCCCTACAGTGGGGTTTGCAGCTGGCCCTCAGACCAGCCAATGGCTGGCACGTGCATTGGGTTTGTGGCGCAAAGTTTTGGTACCGGGGGGCTACAGGGGTGGCTTCTGTGAGAAGCTGCTAGAAGCTTCCTCCGTGTCTGGCAGAGACAATCCAGATAGCTCCAAGAAGGACCCACCGCTGGCCAAGGCCAAGCCCACCAGCAACAGTGGTAACGCCTCTGTGATAACATATTTAAGAGAGGGAGAAAAAAGCCTGGGGGAGAGGCATGGCAGTGGGAGAGAGGAGAGGGAATATGTGAGAGAAACAACTGCGCAGACACCAAGGTCAGTGAAGAGGGAGGGGGAGGAGGTGCTCCAGGCACTGGAGCAGATTGCCCTGGCAGCCCGTGGCGACAGGGCGGGCTGTGCTCCGGCAGCCCACGGAGGTCATCGGTGGAGCAAATGCCCACCTGCAGCCTGAGGAGGACCCCACGGTGGAGCAGGGGGATGCCTGAAGGAGGCTCTGACCCCGTGGGAAGCCCACACCAGAGCAGGTTTGCTGGCAGCACTTGTGACCCCACAGGGAACCCACGCTGCAGCAGTCTGTGCCTGAAAGGCTGCAGCCCATGGGAAGGACCCACACTGCAGCAGTTCCTGACAAACTGCAGCCCGTGGGAAGGACTCATGGAGAAGTTTGTGAAGGACTGTCTCCTGTGGGAGGGAACCCATGCTGGAGCAGGGGAAGGGTGTGAGGAGTCCTCCCCGCGAGGAGGAAGGAGCAGCAGTAACAGCAGGTGATGAACTGACTGCAACCCCCAATCCTGCCCCCCTGCACTGCTGGTGGGATGAAGGAGAGAAATTGGGGGCAAAGCTGAGCCCGGGAAGAAGGCAGGGGTGGGGGGAAAGTGTTTTAAGATTTGCTTTAGTTCTCATTACCCTACTCTGATCTGATTGGCAATAAAGCTGAGTCTGTTTTGCCTGTGACAGTAATTGCTGAGTGATCTCTCTGTCCTTATCTCCACCCACGAGCCTTCTGTTATATTGTCTCTCCCCTGTCCAGCTGAGGAGGGCAGTGATAGAGAGGCTTGGTGGGCACCTGGTGTCCAGCTGGGGTCAGCCCACCACAGCACAGTAGGAATTTCAGCAGGCAGAGCAGGTTTTCTGCTGTTTCCACATCCTTAGGAGCTACTGCATGCCTCCACGTATGCTCCACACAAGCCCTCCGGTGATACTGTGCACTCAGGGCTAACAACAGTCTTAAAATAAGAAAGGGATGTCACCTTTGCTGAGGTCAAAGCTGAGATGGGAGCAGGTCTTAATGGAAGCCACCGTATCTGGGTGGCTAGCGGAAGATACAGGCCTTGGTGATGGCAAACATGGCCAGCTCCTGGCCAGCTCCGGAGGACAGCACTCTCCTGCTGCCTTTCCAAGGCTCCACAAGCTCAGTGGAGACTTTCAGCTCTTCTCTGCAGCCCAGACCAGAGCTGGAGGAGGGCTCCTCTCCCACACTGCTCTATGGAGAGCACAAAGATCTCTTTCTCTCCAGCAACATTCGCTTTTTTCCAAGGGCAGGTTTACCAGCCCAGAAAGAGCGTATTGCCTGCTCCACAGGTCCTCTCTCATGCAAAACAAGAACTTATTAATTGCATATTTGTCCTTTAAATGTCCCCTGCCTAAACAAAACAGACAGCTTGAGCGTCCATCGTGTGCTGGCATTGCTGCCTGGCAGGAGGCTCACAGTTTGAAGCCTGGCTACTTCTATGCAATTCCACCTAAGCAGTGATAAGAACTCCAGAAGAAGGCTTTTCCCTTTGGACACTATATATAGTAACTGCAAACTATTTACACAGGCTGAACAAACGTTAGTGTCACTTCAAGAAAAATGAGCTAGCTGGAGCAATGAGAAAGCACTGAAGGGGAGCTGGGGGGAGCCCAGTGCTCACGCCTGCAGCTGAGATGCACAGGGTGAGCGCTTCCAACAGTGCTGAGAAGCACCCTCAGCTGCCAAGAGTACCTCTGCAGGTGCTCACTCCCAGGCAGACACAAGATCACCTGCAGCTTTACACACTGCATTGTCCATTGTCCTGAGGCTACTAAGCAACAGCTTCATACCCACAAGCCTGGTACGTATCTGGCAGGTATTACACATCTCCCATGAGCTGTCTACTCTAGGGTGTACTCCTGCACCCACATCCAGTGTACTCACCCAGGGTAATAAGGAACCTATCGTCCCGAGAGAATGCCATGGCTTGTACTTGTGTCTCGTGATGGAAGAGACTTGCTGTGCAAACCCCATCCTGGACGTTCCAGATGCAGATCTGACAATGGGAGTCTCCAGTCCTCTTTCCTGAGGCAGAGGCAAGAACCTAACAGAACAGTACATTGTCACTGAGACCTTGGTAAGTAATTAAAGAACACTTCATTAGTTAATCTTAGCAATTACTAGTCTCAAATCAAGGCGATGCAGTTGGCAAACGGAAAATTCTGGGAGAACACCCATTAGCTGATGGCAGGAGGGAATGGTAGCATCAGCCAGAGGAAGGGAGCAGCCTTTGCTGTCACGCTGAGCCAGCACAATGGCTAGCTAGGCTCCAGAACCATTGACTGTACTTCCATAACCCCAGGTCTCCACGCAGCAGGGGACAGAAGGAATGGACAAATGGGATTTTAGTATGTGACACTCCTTTAGCCCAAAGCTACACAGACAAAACCAAGGCCAGGGCAGCAGAAGCCTCTAAGCCTCTCCTACCTGGGCATCATGGCTGACGGCGAGTGTAGAGATCTCCTCTGTGTGGCCCAGCCAGTGGTTCTGTGATCCCGAGTGCAGGTCTTCAACCACAATGATGCAGCCACAGGTGTAGGCAAAGAAGCCTGGCAGAGGAGGAGACGGGATGTTTTCATGTAAAGGGTTCGTATACAACACTCACTACAATCTACATTGCAATTCTTTTTTTCAGTAATACATAAAAGCTGAATCTTCTACACAGCTTGTCAGCATCCTTCCTATCAGCTTGAGAGTGGAATAAAATCTCACTTCTCCTAATGTAAGCAAAGCAAAGCTGTTGGGCATCACTCCAGCTTGAAGAAAGGAGGCAAGATGGCCTTCATAAGAACTTTCCCTTTTGCTCTGTCCACTCAACAGCTGAAGGCTGAGCCTGCTCTTATCAACTAATGTTTGCCAATAGCAAAGAAGGTTTACTGGATTTTACCAACACAAAGTACCCCTGTGTTAAAGCAAAGCTCCCAGTCCAAGAACAAGATCATAATGTGGCTCAGTACACCCGGAGTACACATCTCTCCAGAGCCCTCCCGCTGTACCTGTGTCTGGGTTCCACACCATATTCCCTCTGCCGTTCCCATTGTAGCCAATCACTGCTTTCAGCTTCAAGACCTCACTGCCAGCTGGAGGAGATAAGAAACTCTGCAAGAAAAATAGACACTGGCTCATAATAAGTTCTTGAAGGATGGCCCTGTCAGGTACATTCAACACCCACGTAAGCATGCGCACAAGCACACACACATTCTCACTCATACAACACGCAAATCCGTGCCAATACTCATGCAATCCAAGTTCAACACAACAACAGATGAATACCAACGTGCACACTTATACATAAAAAAGAGAAACTGCACCAGCAAAAGCAGGCACAGATGCTTTCAGATGGGGCACAAAACAGGCTGGCAGCAACTGCCCAGCCGACAAGCAGCTGCTAATCCTGCTGGGAAAGAGTTCAATGGGTTTTGCTGACTCGGGGATGTAGATGTTTCAATAGGAAGACAGTGAGGGGAAAAAAATGCTACCAGGTGGAGGGACAGAGGAGAGAATTGAGGGTGCAAGCTGAATGTAGCTTTTCTCCCAGCACTGTGAACAGCAGAGCTTAGGAAAAGGTTGAGTACGTTTCTGTTTTATTATTGCTCTGTTTGTTATCAGAGCGAGGGCTGTGCCTTGACTATCTTCACTACGCTCGATGGATTGCCTTCCCCAGCCTGTGCTGCCAACGCATCTGCTCACAAATATGGGTGCGTGATGAATCACTCCATTGCTCACTCGTCTTTCACTTTCAATAGCACATGCCATTTCCATTTCTTTTGAATAAAAATGTATGTAGATTTGCTGAACAGAAAAAGAGTTGATCACAACTCACTTTTTACTAGTCTGGAAAGAGCTGCATGTAGAGAAAGGGGAACTAATGTTAGGAGTTTCTAATTGAACATCAGGCCCAGGGATATATTTCACAAATTACTTTCAAACAGAACAAAATGGAAAGAACTTGGAAAATCCACCTACCCAAGCCCCAAAATGCCTGTCTGCCACCTGCCCAGGTAACCAGACCTGGCACAACTCTCACCTGGGGGAGCACCGATGCCTTAAAGCGAGGAGTGAAATGCCGGTAGGAATCTGGGCGGATGGAGCATTGGGACTTGGGACTTTTGGTCTCCTTTCTGGGTTCTGCCACACAAAGAAGAAGACAGTACCTATGGGATGCTGCTCCTTGAAAGGGTTTGGGAGCAGCAGCTAGGCTGTCTGTTCAGGTGCTGTGTATGTGTGCACACATACACACGCACACGGCAAAAATCCGACCACAGCATCACACGTGTGCCTACATGTGTGGCCATAGGAAAAGCACCAGCTTTCCAGGAGCAAAGGAGGAACATCCATCTCCCCTCATCATCCTGCTCAGCCACAACACGCTGCAAACAGCTTCAGGGCATCCACGCTGTGTGCTCTGGGCATTGCTGGGAAAGCATAAGCCACACAGCTAGAAAGGTCTGTAATAACAAGAGCAGCGGAGGCACAGTTTCATGTTGAAGCTTTCCAACAAGTCCTGCCTGGGGCTGAGTGCTGGCAGCTGCCTGCTTCTGGCAGCTCGCCACAAACTGCTGCAGCTTTGAGGCTGTGCATCTATTAATAGAGACATTGGGAGCTTTAATTTCAGCCGTGTTTAATAGAACGTGCCACTTGGAGATGATATATTGGCTCCAAGCTGAAGGGGGGGCTTCTGGTGTGCCTAGAAGCAGCAGCAAGGGAAGAGCCAGAAAAACAAGCAGTCTTGGAGACCAACAGGAGTGTCCCTCAATACTGACTTCCTTTGGTAAATCACACCCAAGGGAAAAGCCCCGAGGAACACATTGCTGCCCTTCGTCCCACAACTCAGAGTATGTGTCCAGGTCTATCTGTACCATATTAATAATGATCTTTATTTTTCAGGGATAGACCAAGCTGCCACACAGGCCTGAACACGTGCCCCTAAGGAGCCAAGCTCTGTACAAGATGGCTGATATACCATTTGCTGATTCCTCAGGAGACCTTGAGCTCTTCTGCCTCACTTTGGACATCACAAGAAGCTCCTCATTTCTGACTGACTCCACCACAAGGACCGAGGCATCTTTGTCTCCGTTTGCCACGATCCCGCTGCTGCCTGGCAGACCTGCTTCCTCCTCTTTGTCTGATTCAGAGAAAATACCTGAAGAGAAAAATCAGTGGGAGGACAGAGCCATCCGTGTCCTTCAGGACTGCTTCATGTGTGACCGACCCTTTGATTTCTGGCAGTGTCATTCTCCTGCTCTGTGTAACAGTCCATCTGCTAGGGTGGACAGCAAAACAGACATTTCCTACTGGGTATGTCCAACACGGTATTTACCATAGCCCTCAGAGAAGCTGTGCCAGCAGCTCAGTGTATGGAGGAGAGCAGAGGATTAAGTGGTGCTGAATCCCAACATCTCTGGCTGGCTTTGTCCAACTTAGGGTAAGGAAAGTGCAGACTGGTCTGTCAGTCCACAGGAAAGGAAACACGGGCAGGGACAGCTCCAAGGATACTGCTAAACTAGGCAAGGCGTTTTTCCTAAAACAAGATTAATTTTCCCCTTTCCTGCAAGCAGTTCCTTACTTTGACATCCCGCTTGGTGGACAGAGCTGACATCCAAACATGGTGGCGAGGATGACAACGGCAGAGGAACTATCTGCCGAGGTGTTTCAGAGGAATCCTTTAGCTTCTCAGGGCTCCCTTCTGTGAAAAGAAAAGGGCTTATGTAACTTCCTTCATCCCTTAGATCCTTGCATCCTCCTGGGCTGATTAATGGTGATACCTCCAAGTTCATTTCTTCAGCTCTCTCCTACAAAGGAGATGCCACTTCTCTGTCCTTCCAGAAAGGGAGAGAGAAAGGGATAACAAAGTCAGGGAAAATGAAGACAGAAGAGATGAAGGCAGGGAAAGACAGAAGACAAAAGCTGAAAGACCTAGCAGAAAACCCAGAGTGGCTTTGCTCAGAACATCCCCTGCTTGGCAGACTCCCACTGAGAGGTTCTAGTTAACTGCAGACTGGAGCTAATTAGCTGGTTAGCCCCCTGCTATGTGACTGCTTCAGGAAAGGAACCAAAAACCCTCAAGCCCTACCCTCTGCCCCAAAAGGCAGCGGTGGAAGAGCTGCCGACCTGCCAGCCAGCACAACTCATGGAAGAAGCCAAACTCACCTGCTCCTGGCAGTAGAGTGGACTTGGAGGAACAAGCCCTGGAAAGGCAAGGAGAGCGGTGTTACACCAAAAGGAGCTGGGGCAGGCGAGGTGAGGGGAAGCAGGGCAAGGCACTGCCCAGCACGGTGCACTTACCTGGCTGGGGGCGACCTCTCTGCAGGCAGAGCCAGGAAATCCCAGAGGAAGATGGCATCTCCAACGCTGATGACGTGCCGTTGGTCCGGGGTGAAGGCCACCTGGCGCACGGGCTCCGAGTGGCCAATGTACACCTGGAAGAGAGCACACCTTGACCTTCATCACCACATCTGTCCTGTCAGGATGGTGGTTACTGTGCTCCCTACCCTGGGTAGCCAGTGTCTACGCTCCTCAAGAGGCCAGCACCACCCCTATGGTGCTTTAGGGTTGATCAATCTGGGGTTGACCTTCAACACATCAATCTGGAGAAGCGAGCAGAAGCTGAAAACATCCAAGGTTTTATCCTAGCTCTCAATACCTCTGAATCCCCAGGGTGAACCATTTTCCTCTCTGGGTGGCTCTGTCCCTAGCACACAGGCAACACCTCCTCTGTCCTTCTCAGAGAGCCTTGCTAGGTGTGTTGCTTTGGCAGCCCCTGCCTGTGCTCAGGGCTGGGCGTAACTACGAGGGAATAGGGCTGCATTCCACAGCTGCTGGCCAAACTGGGACTGGAGACACTGGGCCAAGTCACACAAAGGGCACTGGCTGCTCTTTTCTCCAATAATTCAGATATGCAACACCAATCCCCTTCCCTCCCTTTATGGGCAGTACCTGGAAGTTGATATCGAAGCGCATCTGATAGTCCCACACTTTGATAACTTTGTCACCAGCAGTGAGCAGGTATCTGCTGTCCTTGCTCAGCACCAAGGAAGAACAGGACAGCTTGTGCACAGGAGACACCTGAGGACAAGAAACGGCACCAGAAGCATTAACTGAGCTAGTTCACGTCCTTACTTATGCTTCAGCTGAAAGTGTGACAGCACAGAAAACAAGGACAAGATCAGGCTCACCCTGAGCACAACCATACCAGGACAGCTGTGGGCTTGCCAGTCACGTGTTTCTTTGAAGCCTGTGAACTCCAGGCTGAGCTCTTTTCTCATTTAGCCTTTAGCAGTGACATGAAGTGCCCAAGCCCCACATGACACAAAACCTCAGTGCATGAATTTCAGAGTGTCCTACCTCTCGCACCAGTCGTCCTGTTTTTGCATCAAGCACAAGGATTTTATTGGAAGAAGTGGATACCAGGAGCTCGCCTCGGGGCACAGGAGCGAAGCAGACTCTCACTGCAGAGTCCAAGGCCATGCTGTTCAAATCAAGGATGCTGATGTCCACCCTCAGCAGCTGTGAAACAAGGAGCTACTGAAGAAACATCCTGGAGCATACTGCAGAAGCCTCAGGATTGCTCTCATGGCTCTTCTAACAAGAAGCTACAGAGCTGCCCGGACCCGCCCCCCCTTCCCACCTAATGAGGGGCAGCAGGGTCCAGGCAATGTCCCAGCTGCCCGGGAGAGCAGATCACAAAGAGGTGCTGGAGCTGTCAGTCTACACATGACTTCTCCAAATTATCTTTCTAGAGGGGAATGAAGCTGGAGAAGAATCAACCTTGACCTTCTTGTTTCTGTCTCACAGAATGGAAAACAAACCTCGTTGTAACCACCCTGAGCAAGCATCTGCTGTGCAGGGAAGGGCCATCTCCAACACTTCTGGTGCCCAAGGCTCTTGATCTCTCTCATCTGATGCAACCTATGGGAATTTCCCCACCAGCCTGTGGCACCCTGTGGAGCACACTCCCCTGCCCACTCTCCCCCAGGGACGAGGGGAGACTGCTGGATACCTCATCTAGAGAGCAGGCCTCCATCACGGTCACAACGTACTTGGAGGGACCCACAAAAGCCAGGAGATGGTTGTCCCCACTGACCACCAAAGCATCTGGACCGCTCTCAGCATCCTGGGCCACCACATTGCCTGAGGGCCACAGCAAGAAACAAGAGTGAAGAGAGGAGCAAAGCCCACGCTGCAGCCAGCTCACCGTGACGGTGCTGCTGACTGGCAGCTGCAGTTTCTCCTGCCTCCAAATCAGCCTTGGGTTAATGTTCTGGCCTGAGAAACAAACAACTTCTGTTGTAGAAGATGCTACAAATTTTATCTGCAACACCCAAAACGTGCAGTGAACTACCTCAAAGGCAAGGTCTAGATAAATGGCACGTTGCCTGACTGAACATGTGGTGTTTTCAAGGAGAGAACAAAGTCAAGGGAATAAAATTGATTTTAGTGTTTATTTTCTAGCGTTAGAAGAAACTGTGACAAGGAACTATGAATGTGAGATCTCAGCTGCAGCCTGGGTGTCTGAACCCTGTACAGAACGAAGTCAGTGCTGAACCCCACCATGCTGACATCAGTCCAGTGAGCAGATAGACCCAAAGGTCTAAATATCACAGAAATCACAGCAATTTTCTCTATTTATTCCATTACCAAAATTCCACTCTACTGTCCCTGGAACATGGCCAGGCAGTGAACACAATTTCAGAGTAGAGTCAGCATGTAAAGGTCCAGCTGCAGCACTGACACCAAACTTGGGTGATTTTGGACAAATTGCCTTATCTCTCCGAGCCCCTATTCCTTCTCCACCTACCTCAGCTGCACCCTTCCTGGGGCAGGATCCCCCTCTTTGTATGCTCTTGCACAACAGAGCTCCCTTTCCCTGCCTGAGCTTGTGCTGCCACAGCTCATTTCAAAAGCGCACATTAGATGTGACATTAATGTTTCCAAACTGCCTTGGCCCTGCACTGCTTCCCCTGCCTGCAGCTCTCCACCTTCTCTGTTCACCAGCACAGCTCTGCGCAGCTCTGCTGTAGGCAGGATTAGGGAAATGATCCAGTTTAAATAAATTAAACTGCACATCCACAGAACGGAAAGAGTCAGGGCTTGAGCATGAATAAGTCTCTGCAATTCCATCCCATTCATGAAATTGTAACACCAAGAAAGCTGAGAGCATTTGAACCAGGACAGGTAGGGAAGGATTGGCAGTCACCAGGGTTTGCTCACACATATGGTATCAATGCAAATGACACAGCTTAGGATGTTCATCAGAAAATATCTTTCCGAGTAGGCTGAGTCTGGTTTGGCTTTAGTGCTAGGATGTCTGTGCTAGTAAAAATCGAAGAAAAGTGACCCACAACCTGAGTCTTACCCAGGACTCTCAGGATGTGGCTTTTTTGCACCATACAGCTGTAGAGAGCCAGAGTTCCCTGCAAACAGGAGCTGAACATGAACTTGCCATTGGGAGAGAAGGTCAGTCCAGTGATCACAGTGCGGTGCTGCCTGAAAGAAGGCAGAAAACTTGAAAAACAGGAGGAGAAAATACAAACCCCCTGAAAAAAGCAGTAACACTGAGTGCAACATGGTGAAAAACCCAGGAGAACAAAATAATCAGGGACAGGCAGAGGATCCCACCAAGCTCATGCCTGCAGCAGTCCAGGACAATCAACACTCTTAACTTTTTGGAAAACTGAGCAGCAAGCACAGCACTCCAGCTGTCCCTGGATGGGACATGCTCCCTCTGCCTCTGGAGCATCCTCTGCTTCCCACACCAAGGATCACAGGGGCTCCCTATTCAGCTGCTCTCTAAGACAAGCTCTACTGTTGGCCACTGGGAAGTCACAAAGAAAACCCTCATAGTCTTTGCAGGTTGGACTTTTACTGTGCAGAGCCTTGGCACAGCAGGCTATCTCTGCCTGAAAACCACTCAGCTGGGATATGAGAATTGCTGAGCTCAAGAAAAGCACTTTTTCTGCCTCCATGATTATCACTGTGGCTCTTGCCAGGACACCCAGTTAGACCCATATCTGCCCCGGTGCAGCTCCCGCTGCAAGTGCTTACTTGTGCTCTACCAGGAGATCGGAGGCAGCCAAGCTGAAGGTCCGCACCATCCCGCTGTCAAAGCCACAGGCCAGAATCTGCTGTGTGGGGTGAAAGGCCACAGCACACGGCATTTCATCTGCAGCTGTGAAGTCATACAGCTGCGGGGAACAGACACACCACAGGCACAAAGATGAATAAAGCTCTACCTGGCAGCTGCACCATACAGCTGCACAACAACAAAAGAGCCTCTGGCCTCCACCATGAGCGTGTCCCACAGCAGAAATCTAATCTTGCCTGGATGGATCTAAAGCCCAGTGAAGTCCTGGGTCTGTGGGACTTTAGATAAATACCCTTGGGTATTGTTTTGTGTTAAAAAGCAATATTCAAAAGACAGAGGAAAAGAAAATACTTTTGTTTAACAATAGCTTCAGAAGCTAAGGTCAAATTATGCACTAAGCTAAAACTCTCAGAACGCCATACTTCCAAAGGATTTCTTGCCCGTGGTACACCCCCAAGCTTCAGGGAGGACATTTAAGGGCTCTCAAACGGTGGAACTTTGATAACCAGACTGAACAGACTAAGCAGAGACTAAATGCAAAACACCTACTGACTCTCATTTCACCTACCTGCTGCATGGAGACGAGGTCCCAGACTCGGATGGTATTGTCCTTAGACACTGTTGCCATCTGCTTCCAAGTCCCCTCTACTGAGAATGCCAAAATGGAGTCCTCATGAGAGCGCATGAGGGTGTTATAGTCCCGGGACTGGATATCCAGGTAGCCCAGATTCCCAGTGGCAGTTGTGCACAAGACTTTGTGGCTGTCTGGGCTGATGTAGACAGAACTCACCGGAGCCTCATGCTCTGGGGAAAGACACAGGAGTCAGCAAACTCCCCTGGAAAAGGAGCAGCTGAAACACAGCTACCAAACCAGATTCACACTCAGGAAAGTAATGACACAGGAATAAGCATCCTGCCACCTGAAGACTGAATGCTTGCAGGCTTGATTTTAGTGACAACTAGTCTCTGCCCTTTCTAGAAGTCCCCAGGCTCTGCTGTTATGGTGATTGCTTCAAAAAGAGCTAAGAACTGCTTGACTTCTCCGCTAATTTTTCAGACAGGTGAGCCATGGGTACAAGGGCACAGAAATCAAGATTGAGTGCCTGCTCTCACCCAGGAGATCCTGCCTTTCTCCTATGAGTTGGAAGAATGAACATGAATAATTGTCGAAGCAGAAAACGTCCAAGCCAGTTACCCCTAGACACAGCAGGCATAAAAGATGCCTTCATTCATGAGAACTGTGTGAGGAGATAAGTCAGTGGAGCTCTGGCTTCACAGGAGCAGGCTGATGGAGATGCAGAGCTCAGAAGCACCGCTCCCAGCTCTACTCACCTGCCTCTAAGACAGCAGCTGAGAAGTCCAGTGGCCACAGGCGCAGGTAGCCATCTTCTGAACCTGTGGCACAGAAGGTTGAGGAGAGGCTAATACTGTTTATAGCGATCCCAGGGCCTGAAAACTCAAAAAACAACAGTACCTTGTACAGTTGAAACAAAAAACCTCAAACTGAGGCTGTCTTCTCCCAGAGTTGAGTCCAACGGTCCACCCGCACCAGCAGCCAAAGCCTCAGAAGCAGCAAATAGGAATCCCATGGTGACTGACAGTACAGTCCCCATCTCTTCCCAGCACTCCTCTTTACCATTGTGCAACTCTTGCCAGGCACAGAAAATTCTTGTCACTTGTTAAACCCTGCCATATTTTTGCCTTGAACAGGATCTTGTAGCAACGGATGTCCTAGATTAACTGGCAGAGATGCAAACCCCTTTCATTTCCACATCTCAAATCCTCTCTGCAGTGTAGTGAGAAGGTACAGAGAATACAGACCTACAGAAGCTGGGTTTTTTGATTCAAGTATAAAGTCCGTTGGTCAAAGCACTGGCAAGAGCCAGCACTGCTACCAGGAGGACACCCAAGGACATTGTTTCATCTCCTCTTGAGGCATTTTCTCGCCCATGAAGTGAGAACCAGAGTTACACATCTCTCAGAGGGGCATGCTCTAGATTAATTAGCTCAGTTTGCAAGAGCAAATGCACTAAGTTTTAAGGTATCATAGCAATCACACTTGAAAGTGAATTCTTCCTGCTGTTAAAATGAATGGAAGGGCCGAAAGCTATACTACTTCGTATACAGCAACAAAGATTTCCCAAACACTCTGCACAGGCTGAATAATGAAAAAAAAATCATCAAAATTTTGTTGGTCTGCTTCGCTCTTTTTCCATCTCTACATTAAGACTCCAATCAGCAAATTAAGACCTTGTTTCATGTTTCTAAAAGTAGTGTTTCTCTGAAAGTGCAATCAGCATTGAAAATGCTAAAATTCTTTCTTAAAATGATACTTTGCTGTACTAAGGAAGATTATTTGCAGTACTTAAGAGGCAAATAGCTAGCAATGATCTAATCAACCCAAAATAATCTTTAGCAGTAGGTAAATAGCTGGTTTATTTTACCAGATTTGAATTAATTTCTGCCCCTGACGATGGCTGAAGTGCCCCCCTGCTGAACCCCCTCCTCCCTGCCTGCAGACACTCCTACCTGCACTGCTGCCTGCCTTGTCCTGCTGCTGGCAGCCCTGGGGCTGTGCGGGCAGGAGCCGCCGTGCGCTCCTCATGCAGACGTTCTTGTAATCCACCTCCAGGATGTGGCCACTCTTGCTGCAGACAAAGCTGTAAAGGAGAGAGATCCCTACTCTGGCACCCCAGGGTTAAGAGGAGCTGTGCCAGTGTGGTTTAGTAAAAACCCAGTTCGGTTTACCTGTTTGCCTGATGGAAAGCAATTCTGGTTCACAGTAACCTAAGGGGTCAACAAGGTGTCCAAGGGCACCTTTCCATGTGCTATCCTAACAAATCTACAACCAAGCCAGAGCTTCCTATTTGATTTTCTGTCCCTTTGAAACATCAATTAGCAAAAGAGCTAAAAATCTGGCATAGGCTTCAGAAAGGAACCTCTCTCTGCCACAGGACACAGCCCGAGGGAAGTCAGGGCCAGTGGAGCCGACAGCTCTGCCTTTATGGAAGAGTATGTGGTAGCAACAAAGGTCTGGCTTTGATGAAAAGTGTCTGTCTATATGCAAGAGGATATGCACCACACTCCTCCTACTGCCAACAGAGAGCTAACCACTAGCCTTGGGTCAGGGAGAGGTTCAGTGAATAAGGCAAAACATCGGTATGGCAAGAGGAAAGATCCATTCCTTGGGCTATTCTGCAAGCAACCCAATCTATTTTGGGACATGAAGCACACTGAGGAGGGGAGAGGCTCTCCCAGCTCCAGAAGGCATATATATTTTGCAGGGAAAACCCAAGCAAAACGCCATTCCCCCATAGAGAAGGGGGAAGGATGCTGCTGAAGGCAGCTGAGAACTGCAGAGCTCCCTCCCGGCAGGCTGCCCCGTGGCCGGGTGATGGTGAAGCCCAGCAGCCCCTTACAGCGTGCGGTCCTCCGGCTCCTGCTCGGCCGCGTGCCCCTCCTCGAAGGCCAGGTCAGTGAACTCCAGGGAATGGTACTCGCCCAGATTGACGGGACACGAGTGCAGCGCTCCACTCCGCACTCGCCACAGCCTGATGTTGTCCCAGCCACACGATACCATCCTGTCCCGGGAGAGACTGTGTGAGGACCAGGGCAGGACTCTCCAAGCTCCCGGCAAAAGGTGAGTGCCCCAAGGACCACCAACTGACAGTGAGGACTGAGAACAGTAATGGGAATTGGATGGTTGCAGCACCATAATTGGCCCTACATCCATGCCAGAACCAATGCTTTTATTTTCTTTGCAAGCTACCTTCTATCATCAAAAAAAGCGATCTTCAAGGCCTGGATGTCCACATCGGTGTGTGCTTTGGCCAGCACAGCCACCTCTCCACCACAGGTGACCTGAGCAGCATTCCACACCACCACCATCTGAAACAAGAAAACATGATGGCAGAGCTGCTCAAACGTGGAAACTTTGACAGCAGAAGAGTTTTTCATTACAGCAGCTGACCAGCTGCACATATAGGAACCTATTCCAGAGCTGGGCACAAAGTACTGATAACAGAGTTGAAGTAGGGGGAAAAAAACCCAACCCTCTTGCACAGAGGGTTTAGAACAGTCCAGCAGTTTTGCAAAGCTTCATGGCAATGCACTTGTCTGGCATCCATAATCATAGGTTATAAATCCCAGGGCTGCCTGGCAACAGGGCTCAGACTTGGAAAGAAAATCCACAGAGGAGTGGGAACTCTGCCTGCTGAGATATAAGAGCTGTATCAGGGCTGAGCCAGTCCACGAGAGCTGGAGGTAGCACGTGTCTGGCTGCACTGGCTCTTGCAGCACTTTGCACACTCACAGTGCCCATCACGAGGGGCAAGATAGTTAAATCCTTGCCCCAAAGAAAAGCAGGAGATGGGTGAAGACATGCAGGTGATTTGATGCTCTGCACTTCCAAACAGTGTTAAAACCAGACCCACGATAACCTTGGCAGCTGGGATGGGCTGAGGCATCACCCTGGGAGAGGTGCTCCTGGCCAACGCTGCAGTACACCCTGTTCTCCCATCCTGCTTTCGCCCTACTGATCCCCCCTCCCCAGTTTCAGCTTGCCAGTTCCCACCCCCATTGTGGACTACTGCCACGTGCTGGGAAAAAAAATGGAGCACTGTTTGTTTTTTCGTGCAGGCAGTACACAGTTAGCGATGGCACAGCTAATTGCTGGTGGTTGTCAATAAGGGATCAGTGGATAAAAACAGTTCCACTGGTAAAACAAAACCCCCAGTCCCATGAAACAATTTTATTTTTGACTGTTACATGTGAAATCTGCGTCATCCCCTAGCTGCACTGGTGGGTGGCAGCTTCAGTTCCCAGCATCCCTTACAGCAGCAATGTCTGTGATGCTCAGAACTGAAGGATTAAACCTTGCATCTTCCCCTAAATGCCATAAAAAAAAGGGGGTTTGGGGCTCCAGTAAGTGCTGAACCTCCCATTTCAATTCCCATTCCTTCACTATGTGTTTGCAAGCCTTCCAGCTCGAAATGCCACACAAAGATGTGTGACCCTCAGTCCAGTGGGCCGGAATGGCTGTGGAGGCGAGTGGCAACGCCGCGCGTGAGCCTGCAGCAATCCCTGCAGGGTGCGACAGAATCACACCGCCGCCTCCATCACCCCGCCTGGGCTCCTAATGGGGACAACACCAGGGACACAAACAGCCCCAAAGCTCAACCAAGCAGGTCTCACAGGCTGCTCCAAAACGATTTGTTTGCTTGAAATTGAAGAATGTGCATGGAAATAATCGTAAACATTGGGTAGAAGGTAAGTATTTTCTAAGCAGCTAACGAGAAAGGGATCTACCTCTGACTAGAGCAAAGAACATCCCTAGGAATGCCCAGAGCAGAGATTGGTCTGCAAAATAACTACATAATCTGGGAGGGCAGCCATCTCATGTTGCTTGTTCATGGGGCAGGGAAGCCTCCAAAACCAAGTTTCATTTCTCACCGTTTTGCCGTGCCCATCCTTTCCAACACCACACAGAACAGCTCCACTGTAGGAAAAGCTGCAAGAAGAGGCCACCTGGTGAAATGCAGCTCCTTGTACCCTGAGCACATCTCAGTGGGGAATAAAAGGAGACAAGTTGTGGGTATGGGGAGACTGCAAGACCTGAGGGATAAGCTCAGGAGGGAGCTGGCAGCATATCGGCTGTTCCGGGCCAGCCGCCAACAGGTCTCGGTGATAAATACAGGCAGATGAAGGAGAGCTATAATTCACCCCCGGCTTATCACGCAGGAATAGTGCAGAAAAGCTGCCATGCTGCAACATTCAGCCCACCTGAACGCATCCCCATGCCCAGGTTGAAACCCACCTCAGGGACAAGAGGGACTGGACGTGGGTTTTAAACACGGAGAGGCAGCTGCCTGTTGGGAAGTCCCAGAGACGCACCACGCTCAGGGGACCAGCCTGCGCCGAGGCCAGCAAGGTGCTGCTCCCGTTGAAGGCCAGTGCTGACACCTGTGGGAAGCACCAGGTTAGAGGCTCTCGAGGAGAGCTGGGACTGGGGGTACATCTACGGTACAAGGACAGTGCTGCCACAAAGGGGCTTTGTAAGGATTGTTACGCTCACCTTGTCCGTGTGTCCGATGAAGAACCTCTGCTCTCCAGTCTGGATCTGCAGGGTCACTATAACAGCATGGCAGGGGTAGACCACCGCAGTGTTGTCCTGAGTCCACAGCGCCTGAAGGCCAAGACAGGAATGAGGGGGCTGCAGGTTCTGCAGAGGTGCCCCAGGTCCGAGGCTGGACCTACAGAGATTTCTTCAACAGATCTGTTGCACGTGTCAGGTGAAAGGATGCTCTCCCGTACAACGAGTACCCTTCTAACTTGCAAAGGAAGACTAAGAGCCCAGCCATCATCCTATTTAATTCAGTGGATTTACCAATCATGTCTACTAACTACATCAACACCAGGCACAGGGAAAATGATGTTGGCAGAGCCTTGAACTGACTGAACCAAAATGACCCTTTCTTTACCCTGACAGACTGCAAGCTGGGCTCCTGCAAGGCAGGGTGCCCCACGGAAACAATCCAAAACACAGCCCTTCCTTTCCAGACTCCTACAAAGCAGCTCTAATTTTAACACGTTAAAACAGAGAAGCCATGAGATTTAAAAGTCCCCCAGAATTTCTAATTCACCATTGTAACAGTGGAAGACCCGTGCACAAATATAAGCTCGTGCTCATCTGCTCTGGGGTCATTTTCCCCATCAAAAAGTGCAGGAAGGGTGGCACTCAGCTGCCTTTCACACCTCCAAAAAAATCAATACCCTGGCCACGTGATTACAGATCAACTCCTCAAACTATCTGAGCTACTGACCTGTTTGGTGCGGCAGCCTCCAAAGCCAATAATCATTCTCAGCTTCAGGATGGGATCTGGTAAGAGCCTCTGGAAAAAAAAAAAACAAACACAGTCACATTTAGAATTGGACTGAGGTCCTCCACCCAGAAGACCCCTCCTTCCCCATTGCTAGTTTCTCTCCAAAGCACAGAGGCAGCTTTGAGTTCTCTCCTGTTAGAGGGGATGGCTTTAAAGTATACAACCTGGTGGAAGTTAAATCTGGCAGGAAGGAGGAGCTGGGATTTCCCAGCATTAAGCAGCAATCCCAGCCAGGCTGGGGGGTTTCAGCCAGCCCTCCCCAGTGCCCTGGTGATGCCCACTGGGCTGGCGGCTGCTGCACGAAGGGCTCTCCTCTTACCCTGCAGGCAGGGGCTCTCCTGCTGGATAGCATACCTGGCCCGAAGCCCTTCCTGTACATGCTCTGCGTAAATTTGTAAACATACATCATTAGCTTAAGGCCAGTGCATTTGAACACAGGGTCCCTCTTTCAAGGCGAGTAAGATACTAGTGGAAAGGAGAACTGCTAGTCGGAAAAAAATGCCAGCAAAGGGACTCCATAGGATTAACTGAAACTTCAGCCTGAAGCCTGTGTTCCCTCTGCTGTTTCTGCCATGCTCACAAGCATCAGCCTTAAGCGTCGCAAAGCCACCCCTGGGCTGCTATGACTCCTCAGGGCTTCACCCACCTCCTCTGAGCCAGCATAGACAGCTCGGGTGGTTCGTTTGCTCCTCTGGTGAGCGTACACGTGGATGCCACCATCAGTGATTGCTGGTGACTGCCCAGTGTGCCCTGCATTGTGTGGTCTCTGGTTCTTCTCTAGCTTCTGGTCCCCAGCAGGCACCACTCTCGGAGGCCCTGGGGCTGTCAGGTGAACCTCAGGGATGGTTTTAGTAATTAGAGAACACCGGTGCGGCATCTGAGAAAGAGCAAAGCCTCAGAGAGAGATCAGCCTCCTCCCAGTGCCTCTTATCCACCGCAAAGGTAGAGGCAGGGAGACAGCCGTGTCTCTCCCAAGTGACTCCACAGCAATACAAAGAAGGACAAATGTGTACCTAGCTTGGCCAGGGAAGTGAACCAGCACTCCCTACACTCCCAGTGTTGTCTGTTTACAGTTCACCTCCTCCAGACAGCAAATCAGAGCCCCAGAAAAGATCCAGTCCTGGAAGAGCCGCCCTCTCTCCACTGAGCAGAGGAGGCTCAAAGTCCCTGGCCAGCCAGCCCGGCACACCCCAGTTCAGAACAGCAAAGTGGTCACAATCCTCATTTTCTTCCTCTCCACAGTGTGAGAAGGATGGCTTCCCCGAGTCCCTCTCCAAAAGCCCATCACTATGCTGTCTGGTAAGCCAGTCTGAGCCCCATCGCCCATGTCACCACCAGCAGGGAAGGGGAACTCAGCGGTGAGGGCAGCTGCCTGCAATCCAGACTCCACACACTGCTCTGTTCCCTGAGGGCACCCGATCAAGTTCGTTAGTCTCCAGTCCTCATTTCCTATCTATAATTTGAAAACACATCTATTTGCTGCCTCAGCTGAGACAGGGAGGATAGATGTCTGGAGATTACGAGGTACTTGGCATTTATCTTGTCTCTGCTCTGCACCATGACAGACTGAACCACCCAGTCATTAACTGCGAGGCTGTGGTCACCAAACCATGCCCAGATCAGCTGCGAACAACAAGCAGCAGCTTCTACATCCTAAATAAAGGAACTCAAAGGCAAGACATGGGGAAAACTCCATGGGAGGCAGAAAGGAAGAAGTTATAGCCTCCTCCACGGTGCACTTACGGCTTTGGGACTGGTTATCTGATGGATGAGGGACAGTCGGTCACGGACTGCTTTGGTGAGCGTCACCGGCTGGGGCAGCTGGCAGACGGGGTCCTCCGAGACTCGGCCACCTGGGTGACACGAGAAGCATGTTGGGCTCTTTTGGAAACCTAAGGCATCCACCCAGAGTGGCACAGCCTGGGCTGCTGTCCCCAGCCTTCCCACCTGCTGCAGGACTGGCACAGCTCTTCTGGATGGAGTCATATGGCAGCTTGGACCCCTCGGATGGGAACCTGAGCAAAGTCAGAGGAAGGTGCCATGTAATCAGGATATTGCACTGGCACCTGGGAATCCCACTTGGTAACACATGGCACAAAAGCCTTTTCACTCTCTCCTCTAAAATTCCCTGTTTTGCCCCATCCTCCCCCAAATATAGGGATACTAAAGCATCTCCTAGGTCTCATCTACACTGTTACTTTGCAGGGGTTACCTCGGCACTGTGCGCTCTAGGCAATGCTACTAAACGGATGACTGCAATCAGTTGTCACAGTTCTCTGGCAAAAACCTCTCCACTGATGGTAGCCCAGCACCAAAGCTGAGGAAGTTATGCTTATGTCTGTCCCTCAGCGAGGCATTACAGCCAGTGACAGCTCAGCAGCCCCTGGCAGGCTACCCTTTAACTTAGCAAGAGGCTGAAGTGCTCCCTAGGAACAGTACGCCCAGGAGAAAGGCTTGCATTACGCTGTCAGCCATGGGAGCAATCCCAGCAAGAGACAGTTGAGAGAGGGGATCACTATTAACAGCAGGAATAACAGAATCAACTAGGTTGGAAAGGACCTTGAAGATCATCTAGTTCAACCGTTAAGAGTTCCCAACTACACCTTGTCCTTAAGTGCTAAGTCAACCCTACTCTTAAACACCTCCAGGGATGGGGACTCCACCACCTCCTTGGGCAGCCCATTCCAACATCCAACAACCCCTTCTGGAAAGAAATACTTCCTGACATCTAAACTTTCCCTGGTGCAACTTGAGGCCATGCTCTCTTGTCCTGTTGCTTACTACTAGGTTAAAGAGACTCAGTTCTCTGCACCCTCCTTTCAAGTAGCTGTAGAGGGCGGTGAGGTCTCCCCTCAGCCTCCTCTTCTCCAGACTAAATCCCCCCAGTTCCCCCAGCCGCTCCCCAGCAGACCTGTGCTCCAGGCCCTGCACCAGCTCTGTTGCCCTTCTCTGGACACACTCGAGTCATTCAAAGGCCTTTTTGGAGTGAGGGGCCCAAAACTGAACTCACTCATCGAGAGGCGGCCTCACCAGTGCCGAGTACAGGGGCAAGATCCCCTCCCTGTCCCTGCTGGCCACGCTATTGCTGATACAAGCCAGGATGCCATTGGCTTTCTTGGCCACCTGGGGCACACCGCTGGCACATGTTCATAAAGCCTTTTTCCTACCCCAAAACATTTAAGCAATTAAGGTTAGACCAGGGTAGATGTGTTAACGACACCTAAATGCTGGAGTTGGGGTGACCAAAATGTCTCCACTTGAGCCCCAGGTTTGTCTGGATCCATCATTCTGTAAGCAGCATTACCTGTCCTGCCCTCCCGTGGGGAACGGGGAGGTCTCAGAGCCACGGTGGGTTCAAGAGCAGCCATACCTGATGTAGTCGTAGAGGTCGTGCCACTTCTCTCCCTTTGGCACAGGGAAAGCCATTTCCCGCGGCATGGGAGCGACCCCGCGGCAGGCCAGGTCGGCCAGCCGAGCCTCAGAGAAGGTCACACCTGGCAGCACAGACATATAGAGAATAAGTTCCCCAAGGCCTGTGGAGCTGGCTGAAATCACGCATTTCCTGCAGGACATGGGCACAAACCACTTCCCTCTTTGAGAACAGCTGAAAAAACAAAGATTACAACCCTGATGTCTGTAACAAACTAACACACCTTTGCACAGGAATATTCCTGAAACTCTCAACCTCCAAAGAAGACCCCACAGCATAAACCCTTGGTATTGAGTTACAAATCCCCCAGCCCCAAGGTTCACTTAAGTTCTCTATTCAGTGATTCAGCAGTTTCACGTGATTTGTGTTAAGGCTCTTTTCTCGTTTTCTTGTCTTCTTTCCTTCATGCATTTGTAAATTCATGAAAGTCTTGGAGATATAAGAAGTTTCAGGAATCTGAAAGCAGTATCTATAACTTCCTCTGCACTGATGCTTTCAAGTTGGCCAGTCAGTTCGGGCAGATTTCCAGCACAAAAAAAGGCAGGCAGAAACAAAGGTTTTGACCAAAGTATACTTGCCACACTGAACAGGTGGATAAAAAAAGTAGGTTGGAAGATTTCTGAGACAAAAAACCCACAGGCTTTTCCAGCAGATAAAAGGACAAGCCTTATAGATGTGAGGCTTGGTAACACCTCTGATTTTTTTCCCCAAAAAAAGAATTCTAACCTTGGTAAGTTATTTAACTTCAGTCTTACCACCCACTTTTACAGCTGGAAAATGAGAGGACACTTTCCTCCAGAGGTCAGGAGACTCTAGAAACTTAATATCGTTCCAAGTATTTTGCCCTTTCTGCTTCATATCGTACTGCTCCAGTAACAGCAGCTGAGTGCCCTGCCAGGGGCAACGACCCTGCTGGCATCACATCTGCAAAAGCAGCTTTAAACCCCCATGGGCTCCACCCAGGCTGGGGTTGAAGTCACGGCAGAAACCAGAGGCCACCCTGAGGTCTCAACTCCTCACCTGGGTCGAACACCAAGTCGCTTGTGCAGAGGTTTTTCACCATCAGGTTGGAGCAGAGCTTGACACTCTTCAGGTGCTTGTAACGGCGGTTGAGGTATAGGGAGAGGATGGAGGGGAGGTCAAGCACCAAGCAGGTCCAGCGCACGTCCACAGGGGCTGCGCCCAGGAGATCTGGGGAGGACAGGGCAGGTGGCAAAAGGGAAGATGGGAAAAGATGCTACAGACCCTGCACCTCGCAGAACGGGAGACGCAAGATTAACAATGAGTAAGGAAAAAGTATTTACCAGGCAAGACTTCCACCAGGCTTGGCTTGTTTGGGCCAAGATGGGAGATGGGAAAACTCGCCTTGTAGCAAGCAGTGCAGGGGGATAGGACAGACACGCAGCCCCACTGCCTCTGTGGACTCGCACCCAGCCTGACGCTGCACCCCACTGCTCGGGAGAACAGGGACAGGGGACGTCCCTCACGGGAGCTACAGCTCCAACCTTCCCACTGCTGAGGGTCTCCCACTCAGGACCACCACTTTCCACCCTCCTTGAACGCATCAAGTCAACTTCTGAACTCAATTTATTTCCTAACGATTTATTTCGGTGGCAATGGGCCAGCCACCGCAAGCAGCACCTCACACGCTCCTCACCGGCCGCACGGTCGCACACAGAGCCCTCGGCCGCTCCGCAGACAAAGGGGAACTGCAGCCAGGTGGCTGTGGATTTGAACTCCTTGAAGAGGTTGGAGAAAGAGATGCGAACCACCAGGTTTTCCTGGGAAGACGAGACATGCAAAGAGCTTTAGTCACCCTGGTGGCTTTGGCAGGGAAATGCTGCAGAGGAGAAGGCACATGGCCATGTGTCCCATCTGGAGAGGCTACGAGGATGGAAACCATGCTCAACCCGGGGTAACCCACCAGCAACCACAAACACTAGACACATGCCGCACCCCCCAAGCGCAGAAGACCACCGCTGCCACCCCCATGCCCTTCAACGGGGCCACGATGCTAATGACAGCGGTTTAACGAGGCCGCCCTGTGTCACGTACCTCAGTGGTGACGTCCAGGTGGACCACGAAGTGCTTGCGGGGCATGGGCCTGAAGAGCAGGTAAAGGTAACGCCCCGCCAGCCCCAGTGACTGCGTCCCCGATCGGGGCAGCTGCAGGTAGCTGCTGGCGGGGACGGAGCCCCGGATCCGGTAGACGGTTCCCTTCAGTCTCGCGTCCTTCCGAAACCACAGGGAAGGGGGACGGGGGTCAGCGCGGCCCACCCGTGGGCGATGCCCCCCCCCACCCCGCGGTGCCGGTGCCCCCGTTACCGTGAGGGCGGCCACGTCCCCCTCCTTGGCGGAGCGCTTCCACTCCTCCACGCGGAAATGCTTGAAGACGTTCAGGTACGGGCGCTGCCAGGC